TGAGATACATCTGCAAGTTCTTCAAGCCAGCAACCAACGATCCAGAAATAGGACCAGTTAAGAGATTGCGGGACAGGTCCAATGACAGTAGCTGATTTAGATTGGCCATGGATCTTGGTATGGAACCATTGAGCTTGTTTCCACAGAGATTCAAGTATTGAAGTGACTGGAGATTGGAAATAGAATCTGGAATTCTACCAGAAAATTGATTGAACTGAATCCTCAGGCCATTCAGATTCTTAAGCTTAAAGATTTGCTCAGGAATTGCTCCTTCAAAAGAGTTTGCCTCAAGAGAGAGCCCCTGGAGAGCTGATAATTTTGAAATCTCTAAAGGGATTTGACCTGATAAGCTGTTACCACCTAGTCGCAAATCCAACAACATGCTAAGTTTGCCTATCTCAGGAGGGATGAAACCTGAAAAAGAATTGTAGCCTAAAAACAACTTTCTTAGATTGTTTAGCTTGCCAATAGCAGGGCTCAGAAATCCTGTGAGATTGTTTTGTGAAAGATCCAAAACGGAAAGCTTGGTACAATTGAACAAATCTTCTGGAATGGATCCTGACAATGAATTCCGTCCTAGTGAAAAGAACGTGAGGTTCTCCAACATACCCAAACCTGAAGGTATAACACCAGTAAATTGATTGGTATGAATGATTAAGTTTTCCAGGTTATACAGTGATCCAATGTCCAAAGGAAGTGGCCCAGATAAAGAGTTGCGATTGAGAGCCAAATAAAAGAGGTTGGTCAAATTCACAAATGTTTCAGGAATTTGTCCTGTCAATTGATTTTCATGAAGAGCTAGAACTTTAAGTGAACTCAAAGAACCAAGTTCTTCAGGTATTGATCCGGTTATCAAATTTTTCGAAAGTCCAAGAAATACTAAAGATTTGCAATGAGATAGAGATGCGGGAATTGTGGAAGACAACAAATTGTCATGCAACCACAAATTTTTTAATTTGACGAGATTTCCAAGTTCATCAGGAATGACACCAGTAAGCTTATTGCTATAGATTCTCAAGAGTGTTAGGTTTGTGACACCAGTAAGCTTATTGCTATAGATTCTCAAGAGTGTTAGGTTTGTGCACCGGCCTAGCCCAGCTGGAATTGGCCCCTCAAGTTGGTTCATGAAGAGTTGGAGAATGGATAAATGCGAGAAGTTTCCAATCTCAGGAGGTATAATTCCTGATAAATGATTGTCACTGAGGTCTAGAATTTCCAAACCTTGCAGCCTAACAAATGAAGAAGGGAGAGAACCAGTGAGATTATTAGTGTGAAAACCCAATCCTTGCAACGACGTGCAGTTGCAGAGACTCTGTGGGATGCTTCCTTCTAAGACATTAGAACCCAGATCCAAGACCTGAAGATTCTTACAGTTTCCAAGCTGAGCAGGGATTACACCCGAGAGTTGATTATCATAGAAGTTCAACTCGATAAGTTCTAAGCATTGCCCAAGCTGAGGAGGAATTGATCCAAATAGTTTGTTTGAGCTGATCTCAATGACCTGAAGGGTGGAGATATTGCCAAGAAATGGAGATAAGGTACCTTCCAGTTGCATCTGAATTAGAGTGATAGAAACTACAGCAGTTGAGGAAGGATCACAAGAGATTCCAGTCCAATTGCAATGGTGAATAGAGCTTGTCCAATTCGACAAAGCACCAAGAGGATCATCGCTTATTGAAGCTTTAAAAGCCAGTAAGGCCTCGAGTTGAGGGTCGGAGATGGATGAATCGACAATGAGTAAAGAAGAAAGGAAGAGAATGAGAAGACATTGAAGGGATTTTCCCTGCCATGGAGCTGCCATGAATCTGAAGCAACAATGGACAGGCTAATGAGATTGGTTACATCGAAAGATGATTTAAACTGATTTTATAAAGAAAACATATGATAGAATGCCATCAAAACGTTTAAAACAAAAGAATTTTAGAAATCAATGAAGTCAATAGGCCTTACGTCAACCTTATGCAAAGAGCACTCATCAGTCGGAAGAGACAAGATGCCGTCTCCACTTGTCCGGTAAGTCCCATTTCAACTGCATTCGCAATTGCCGACTTCAAATTTACATGCGCAAAATCAGTAAACTAACCAGATAGACTTAGATTAAAAAGATTATAAAAACAAAAAACAAAAACTTTTTTTCTGTTCTTCGAAAGCCAAGAATGAGGTCAAAAATTTCACTGGGAGGCAGTAATTATCAGTGGAAAAATTGTGATGTGAGAAGACTTTAGTTTCAGAATTTTAACAAATTTTCAATATCTTTATCACATTAAATTAGCTGCCACCACTTAATCCGTTCATACCTCAGCATCGCAAGAAAGGTACGGGAGGAGGTAGGGTTTGTAGTTTGTACGATTGAATCAACTTTTTGGGGGGAAAGAAATCGCCGGCCTTTCTTTTCACACGGTAATGCCTAAGGGCAAATTTTTAAAAGGAGCAAAGTTAATAAT